TTTATCATTTTTATTGAAGAGATTGGAATGTTAGCTTTCATATGATGTTATGTGAAAACTTCTCATTCCCTTCAGATCATCAGTGCAAATATTGATCAGTTGTCTTAGCAAGACAATTAAGTCCTAAGACCAGAGAAACAATATCCGAAAACGTGCAAGCCCGACCGTACAGTTGAGCTTCTACAGTTGTGACAATGCAGCTCAGGCAGTGTGGTTATTTGGGCTGCGTTTAATACTAGGATTTCATCACGTTATTCATCCAAATGTCAGTTTTTACGTTACCTGAAAATACCTCCCATTTTCATGTTCCCATAACAGTACCGGAATTCCTGATTGACGCCACTGTAGAAATTGAGAGTGACTCCCCTGACGTTATTACACGTCGGCGGCGGAGATGATAGAGGCGTCTGCTGGGATAGTAGAGAACTATGAAAGTCACCATGAGTCATATTCACGTGCACACATACCCTGCTGTCCACTGGGGTTATGCTTGCTGTGTGTGCCACGTTGACAATACTAGCTAACCTAACACAAACGCCAACGAGAACCTAATTAGCATAAGCACACAACTCATGTTAATAGTTTAGGAATGTCTGCAGGTGTATATTTCCTTCAGCTACGATGAACGTTATGTACTAGCTTGCTGCGGTCAGGGTTTCCAGTGTTCTAAATCTCGTAGGCATTGCGCGTGAGAAAAGGCGCATAAAATATAATTCCCTTCGTCGCAGTGTTGTGGGACAAGATGTCAGCTGGAGTTGTTCTCACGAGAAGCACTTGTCTACTGCCTGAAGGACAGTTGGTCTGGATGCCTGTGCGTTACTGATATTGTAAATAAAACTCCATCTTCGCTAGCTGACTAAAAATTACAAAACTGTGTTTATTGCTGGAAAGAAATGGAAGGAATCAGTCTTGTGTTCATTTTTTAGTCTAGGAAGCAGTTTGAGAAAGTAAACCAGGAAGGGAAATGAAAGCAGGTTCACAGCGTTTATCTGTTTCTCATTTTCTAGTTTTATGTTCAATTTCTTGACACATGGGGACGTTTATTAGTTTTTCTTTGTCAAGTTTCTACCAGTCAGCTATAATGTTGTTTACTCTATGTTAAAAATATGCGGTATCATATCTAGATATACTTAATGGCATGAGGGTGAAGTATGTATGCAGGTACACTGCCATGGACCTATTTTTTGTAATTTCCAAAAAGCGTACCTACTTCTCGAAACATTTGTATCAAAATAAAACGTCATTTAGTGTTGCAAATCTGTGAATTTTGGATTTAAATTCTCTTAATTTCCCTTTTTTTTTTGCATTGTTTTATTAAGGATAGGTTTGAAATATCGATGTGTATTGACATGAAAGTTGTAACATACTAACAAAAACTGCATGGTACCCAGACTGGTAGAGGTAGTTAGGTATAATGTATATGGCACATTCTAAGAAGCCTATTACCAAGACTGAGGAGCACATCTATGGATTTCATGCGGTCATTTGAGATTATAATCATACTTGGAAAATCTGGAGAAATTACATTTGAAAGAATAATTAGGGAATCCCGTTATCTTGAATGATTGTTGATTGTCCTTCTTCCAAGGTTATCATGCAATACCTTGAGAATGCTTCACCTGATTAATTTAAAATTTTCAATGCCGGTGATTGTTAGTAAGCGAAAGGTTCGTATTGTTATTAAGATGTGTCACTGCCAATCTGCCAATTTCATAAGTAAAATAACATAGCGATTTCTGTGAAACTACACTTCTACGAGAAAGTTCCGAGCGGCTTCAAACTTACTGTCAATTTTTAAAACTTTTTCAAGCTTTCATCATTGATGGATCTAATCAGAAGAAGAATTTTAGGCTGTGTATGTGCATGTTTTACTATTTGTATAGCAATTTGAGAAAAAATAGGGTTTATTGGTTTCCGTAAGATAACTGGTCAAAAAACTTCCTTTTACTCGCACTCAAAATTCTTGATAATTCAAGTCAATATATTTAGTTACAATGGTTGCAGATGGCCAGTAGCGGCGGCGACGTATAACTTCGCCAGTTTTGAAAGAATATAGCTTCGCCAATGGTTGCATTGCTTGGCTCACCTGTGGTGGCGGTAAGTAGTTTCGCCATCAGTGGCTGTATGTAATTTTGCCACTTGTGGTGGGGAATAACTTCGTCAGCGGTAGCTATACATAACTTCATCAGTTCAGTATTGACTTTATCAAACATATTGTTCAGATAATTGTTGGCAGATAAAAGGGGCTACATTATCACAGGGATAATCGTTGAAATATCCGTGTTTCTCGGATAAATTAAGACAGTCCCCATCGCTTTCTGGAGCCCCAGGACGCCAGAAAGGTGTTCCCTCCGGTACTGCGCTTCCATCCACAAAATAAAAAGAACCTTCCTCTTCCTTGTCGTTGCCGCCGATCCAGTGCCAAGTTGTTTCATCTGGGTATAAGGAAACAAGGAGAGACGAATTAAAGTATGGAAACTGATGAGGCTTATATGTTTAG